AAATATTTTTACTAATTAATAATATTTTTATTGATTAGAATTTTTACTACACGGAAAAAAACTTTTACCTAGACCAACAATAAGTTTTTCAAGAATAGTGGAAGTAATAATTGGATAATAAATTAAAAATTTCGCTAATATAAAGAAATTTGTTGCTGTTCCAGGTAAATATTTTTTTCCATGTAATTAATATTTACTAATTTAAATTATTGAACGTCTATTTCTTATATTATAGCTTTACAAATTTTTTAATTGCCACGAATTACAAAACAAAACCTTGAATTTTTTTTCAATTTCTAATAAATTTATGGAACATTAAAAAGTTATTTATAAATAATTCAGTGAATAATTTATATTTAATTTTATATTCATATATTTTTCTGGAACATTAAATTGTAGTTGAAATTTGTGTAAATAAATTTCTTATTTATTTGTAGACCTTAATATTTATTTATTTTTATTTATTTATTTACTTATTTATTTTTTATTTTATTTATTTATTTATCTACCGAAACGTATTTGTGTAAATAATTGATTTTCAGAAAGTTAAAAATTGAATTTTTTGAAAATTGGAATTTCTAAGAGGAAACTAATAATAATAATGATCAAATATTTATTTAAATAGAAAAATTATTAATGTTTCGAGTATAATTTTACAATTGAAGATGAAAATTTAAAATGTCCAAATAAACAAGCGGCAAATAATTTAACAATTAATCTAATAATTATTTTCGGCTAGAAAATTTTAGTCGCAGATATAAAATTATAATAGATATATATAGAAATTATTTTTTATTTGATGAAAACATTTTGTTTAGAAATGAATTTAAATAATATTTCTGTACTTTAATGTTTTATTTAAATATTCAATTTTTTCTTTGAATACTTTATTTTGTATTTAAATACTTTGTTTGTTTAAATATTTCACTCTTTAATTTGAATCAGTTAAAAATCATGGTTTTCACTGACAATCAGTGACTGACTTTTTGCTTCTGAATCAGTTAAAAATAACTGAAAAATTAGTTAAACTTGACTAATTGAATTATAGTAAAAAAAAAAATTACTGAAACATTAGTTATTTTTAACTGACAATCAGTTATTTGTAACTAAATGTTAGTAGAAATATTATTATTTATGAATTATTAGTGACTTACTTTTTGGTTCTAAATCAGTTATTTTTAACTGATTCAAATTTAGAGAGTATTTTTTATTCGAATACTTTAGCTTTTTTATTCTTTAAATATTTTTCTGTTTATTAACATACTTTACACAAAAAAAACAAAGTCTGAAACCTTTTACATCTTAAAACCAAAATTATTGAAAAATAGACTATTTTTAAGCTGAAAACTATAGATTAAGTCAATTTTATGATTTAAAATAATACTCTCAAGGCTAAGACTTAGTTTTAAAAATTAAATGTTGCTAATTTAAACGGTTTTAGTCAAAAAGAGACTGAAAGTAAGATTTATTTTTTACAGTTTTTACAGTCCGAATTTTATTACTTTTTTCTAGTTTTCTGCAGTTTATTTTCAGTTTTCTATAAATATTAGCCGAACAAAAAACCAAAGCGCATATTTGATAATAGTGATAAAAGGGAGAAAGGTGAAAAAAATGTTGAGTAAGGACAAAAGAAATGTGAAATTATTAAAAAGTATATGAATATCAAAGTTGTGGGAGTGTGTATATATTCATAGCGAACATGTGGATACATGTACTTAGAGTACAGTGTGAGTACCAAGTTCGAAGGCTTCAATCAACGCGCCGTCGCCTGCGGCCGATCCGATATAAGACATTAGGTTTCAGACCCACGTCCGAAGATTTCTCTCTCTCTCTCCCTCATAACGCCCACCATCGTGGTCTGCATCTATACCTATTACCTACCTGTGCATCTCTCTTGAAGAACGCGTCCCCTCAGATATATATTCCATTAAAGAACGCCGAAAAGATTAAAGGTCCCACCGCGTGGCATATACACTCGAAAGTGCGGAAGATATCGCGCCGTTCGACACCTAACACCTCCAAGAAGCCAAATTGGCTCGTTTCACTTTTCAAACGCACAAATTCTTTTTTTTTTTTTTTTTTTGCCCTCTCTCTCTCTCTTCCCTATTTTATGTGTTGACCTGCATTTTTCTACAACCCCATTGAGAAATCAAAAGAAGGAGAGTGAGAAGAGAAAAAAAGGAGTGAATTCGAGCATCTATTAATCAACTTTTTTTTTCTTAAATGTGCGCTCTATGGAAAAAAATCTATCAATCATTTTTTCTTCATCTTTGATCACAATTTAAAAATTGTGAAGGAAATTTTATCTAATTAGATAATTCATTATGGTAATTTTGTATTTTTGTAGGGAGTCATCTTTTTCTCACCCTGTCGAGTTAGTTCATTATTCTTTTTATTAGAATACTTTTCGGGATTATTTGTACTCTGGACCTCCGAGGTGTTGAAAAATGTATAGAGATATTTATTCCTTTTTTGGATTTAATTCATTTATTTCTTTTTCATTAGAGGCTTTTTTTCTTTCTTTTGTAAAATCTTTTTTATTGATTCCTTTTTTGGAATTAATTCATTATTTCTTTTTGATTAAATTTTTTCTTTCTTTCTTTATTTCTTTCAATTTATCCTTTTCTTCTTTCTTTTATTTCTTTTTTCTTTGTTTCTTTCTCCTTTTCTTGTTTTTTTTATATTTTTCTTAATTTTTTTCTTTTTTCTCTCTAAACTTTGAATTTGTGAAATGTTTACTAATTTGAATTAGTAAAACTGTTTATTAATTTGAATTCGGAAAAATGTTTACTAATTTAAATTAACGACTAATTTTTGGCTTTCTAATTAGTAAATTTTACTAATAAATAGTAAACTCCTACTAATTTATTATAGTGAAATTTTAACTGATTCAACAGCAAAAATTTAACAAAAATAGTTACAACTTCTACTAATTTATTAGTGAAATTTACTGATTAAAAGGCAAAAATTAGTAAAAGAAATAGTAACTTCTAGTAATTTATTAGTGAAATTAACTAATTCTAAAGCAAAAAGTAGTGAAAAAATAGCTTTTCCTAATTTATTAGTGAAATTCACTAATAATAGTAAATTTCACTAATAAATTAGGAAAAGCTATTTTTTCACTACTTTTTGCTTTAGAATTATTCAAAAGCAAAATTAGTAAAAAAATATTAACTTCTAGTAATTTATTATAGTGAATTTTGAACTGATTCAAAACCAAAAAAAAAGTTAAGAAAATAGTATAAATTCTACTAAATTATTAGTGCAATTTACTAATTCAATAGCAAAAAATAGTAAAAGAAATAGTAACTTTTACTAATTTATTAATTTAATTAACTAATTCAAAAGCAAAAAGTATTTAAAAAATAGCTTTTACTATAGTTTAAAAGCAAAAAGTAGTTAAAAATTAGTAACTGAAATTTACCATTTTAAAAGCAAAAATTAGTAAAAAAAAAATAGTAACTTCTACTAATTTATCAGTGAAATTTACTAATAGAAAAGCAAAAAGTAGTAAAAAAAATTAGTTTTGTTTTTTTGTCACAAATTAAAATTAGCGAACATTTTTATACTAATTCAAATTAAGAGACTTAATAAAATTTTTTTATATTTATATTTTTTTTTAATGATTCTGAATATACAATTAAAGCAATAATTTTGGCGAATGATTTATGTTTTTCGGTACACCATCGGGTGCCTTAGTAAATTATTATAAATGTCCCGTCGGAAAGTTCAACGTGTCGATGAGAAAGTCGCGGCGATATTGTAAAGTCATTAATAATTTTGCTCTCCAACTAATGTCACTTGAAAATATTTAAAATTTCATTTCATTTTGCATAATAATTTTCCGTTTTTCTTGGTTTGTTTTAGGAGTCTGTTAATGTATTTATGCGGCTATATAATTATTATTCAGTGGAAATTGTAACTACTTATACTAATTACTTTAACTACTACTTTACTTGAACTGATAGTTCAAGTAGAAATGTTACTAATATAGAATTATAACTTAAAAGCAAAATTATTTATTAAATAATTATTTAACGCACTTGAATAATTTTGCTTAAACAATAAACTAAAAGATGCGGAAAATTGATTCAAAAATGAGCAAAATCATTTGGGAATCAATTAATTCATTAATTAATTAATGAATTAAAGAAGTATTTAACACTTAAATAATTTTGCTGCTTATTAATTAAATTATTCAGAAATTTTTTTCGAAATAATTAACTATAACGAAAAAATTTGATTTCAATGTTTTGTTTCATGTCCCTACAATTTTAACGCATAGTTCAAATGAACCAAATTTTTTTGTTTCTTTCTCAAAATTCAATTTTTTGTTGCAATAACACTGCGTCAAGTATTGAAAACTAAATTGGTTCAAATAATGTTCAAAATAATGAATTTTCTTGTCACAAGAGAAAAGAATTTTAAAAAAATTCCAAATATTTTAATGAGTCGAACTCAGGTTTCTTTAAAGTACCTATATCAAATTGGTACCAAAGTGCCGAATTAAATTGATGCCAAAAATTTCGATCAGTTTTTGATTCGATCCGCACATTTTTGGTATCAATTAGTTGCAATTTGATTATGTTAACAGTGAAACTATTGTATAAATAATTTAGTTTATAATTATTGCATTGCTTTCGCTTCATTTTTTCTGAAATTACAATTATACTAAAATACGAGTTAATTACGAAGTTAATTAATTTCTAAAATATGAAAAGAAAGAAGGTAAAATCAGTAAAATAATGTAGTTAAATTTGTTTCTCCGTGCTGTATATTTGGAGCACAGTTTTTCTAAGGATATCAAATTGAGACAAAAAACGTTCCGTTTTTTGTCTCAATTTGATATCCTTAGAAAAACTGCGTGAGTCTGTTTATGAACCAAATCGGTAAAGAAGTAAAAAAATACAAAAAACCGACAGAATAAAAGTTTCGAAAATTCCGAACATCTTACAGATTATTTCCACAAAAAGAAAACTACATTTTTTTTCTCAACTAACCTTGAAAAGGATATCCTGATGTGAAATACGGCGCCATGTTGAGCGTACTGACAGCCATCAAGAGAAGAAAAAAGATATTAACGCAGAAAAATTGCACTAAGTTCCTCCTCTTCTTCTTCTTCAGTTCCCAAAATAAAAATTCGAATCACACTTTACTTTAAAAATTAAAAAGAAAATAGAAATTTTCAAAAATCCAAATTTAGCACAAAAATGGTTGAAAATCGCAAATGATTTTGTCCTCTTTCATCAATTTTTTTGTCACCAAGTTTTTAAAAACGGAAAAACAAATTTTTTTTCGCTATATTTTTGAGAATAAAGAATAACCGACGAGAAAAAGACCTGTTATGTGCTCGGGGTCTCGACTCGAACTAACTTCCAAGGATATTTGTGATCTCTTAAGACTTGACCGTTCTGCGTGACTAAAGAAGTCAGGAGCCTGTGGTGAACCTGACACATTCGAAGGAAGAAGAGAGAATAGGCTCCGCCTTCTTGCAAGAGGAGTCAAGAAGAAAGGAACCTGGTACCCACCATTGAATGGATGATTCTTTGTGAGTTTATTATTGGTTCTTTAAGGTTGTTCACTTGTGCCAAGAAGGTGGTACCAGTTTTTGACTCCGCCTGCGTCCTTCCACCCACGTGTAAAATATCGAGTGTGCAGGTTTACAACAACTTTTGAAACGTGCCTCTCACTAATTAGTGATTATGAGGTTGATGATGGGAATCTCTTTTTTTTGAGAAAAGAGAACACGCCTTTTGTACTGAGATTTTTAGTGATAGATAAAACGATATTTGTGAAGTGCGTGTTTACGAGCGTTTTCAGGGTGTGGAAATAGGATTCTAGAGTGTGCAAATTGTGATTGGATTTGGTTTTTGAGTTGATGAAGAACCAGGGGAGAATTAGATTTGGATTTATTGAGCTATTGATGTTTGTGATATTTTAAAGGATTTCGTTTCGTTTCCTTTTTTTATTGGTCTGTTAATTTTTCGACAATGAACGGTGTGAAAATTGAGACGAATTTTGATTCTCGATGGTATTTGATACACTCTGGCAAAGGAGAGTGAAATTTTAGGTCACATTTTGTGAAAGTCGCTAATTTTTTTAGTTGAAGCAAAATTTAGAGTTCAAATTTTATACTCATTCTTGATATTAAATTCGAGTTCAAGAAATGTACTCTGTAAAAAAGGGAGTTAAATTTAAACTCCCCAGAGAATTCTATAAAAGTCGCACCCATTTGGGATTTAAAGCGAAGGAAGTTGGTTGAAGGGAGTTAAATTTTAACTCCCCAGGGGATTCTATAAAAGTCGCACCCATTTGGGAGTTAAAGCAAAGGAAGTTGGTTGAGGAGAGTTAAAATTTACACAGTAAAAATAAGAATAAACTCCAAAAGGGAGTTAATTTAATAATTAACTCCCCCTTTTGGAGTTGATTTTTAACTCCATGGTTGGGACCGTCAAGTCCCTAAATTTTTTTACAGTGTAACTATAAGAATTAACTCCCAAGGAAGCTAATGGTCTTTTTCGTTTACTTCTCTTTGTTTAGGTTTCGTATAGATTTAACTCCCTTTTGGAGTAAATTTTTATAGAAATTTTACACTCAATTTCTGATGCCATTTACTCCATAAATTTTGAACAGTGTAAAAATTGTGTTTGCAGAAAAAGAAGAAAAGTAACTGCTGCTAGCTATAATATTTTACACCTCCTATCTGCAATTAATGTATAAATTAACTCCGGAGTTAATATCACTTTATAAATAACGAAATTGAACTAATGCAACAGTTCTTGATTAACTCAAAAAGTTTTGTTCCCATATACATTTAGAATAAGATATAAAGTATATAACTTTTATACAATTAAAATTTAAGTAAAATTTTTAGAAAATAATTAAATTTTTCTTAGAATTTTATTATAATTTTCTAAAATAATTTAATTCATTTAAGAAATTTTATGTAAATAATTGTAATTATTTCAATTCTTTTAAAGAATTTCTTCTTTTTGAAAATAATGTAGTTTTTTGAATATTTTTAATTGAAAATTTTGAAAATTTTTAAAAAAAATCGTGTTAGTTAATAATTATAATTAAATATTTAATATTATTAAATTTTATTAAAATTGCATTGAAAATAATTGAATTCCTGAGAAGAATTTTATTATATTTATAAAAAAATAATTTAATTCTTGCTATGAATTTTATTAATTTATATAATTGAATTTCTTCGAAAGATTTATTAAAATTTTCGAAAATAATTGAATTTTTTCGAAAAATATTATTAACAATTTTTTTTAAAATGAAATGTTTTCATGAAATTTTATTAAAATTTGTTGGAATTGCAACAGTACTACACTCAATATGGCAAATAGGCAAGCAGAGGTACACATAAATTTTGGTACCTGAACCTGAGGACCTTTTTGCAGCAAGTACCTGAAGGCAATCAGTCCGGCACTAACCGCCTAAGGGTGAACCGCTGTCGCGTTACACCAACTTTGTTCATTAACCAATTATTGCATTATATCGAGTAACAATCTTATTAACATACTAAAGCTTGTAAAGACACGTGATCATTTAATAAACGTGTGTATTACGTGTATTCCCTGTGTTTGATTGTGTTTATTCCTTTACAATAAATTACAATTAATATAAAGTCCAACAGGTTATGGGCCCAGGCTCATAGTGTGTTAAAAAGTGTAAGAACAGTGACAATATAGAACAGTGTGTGACGATAAGGTTAATATATGTGCAGAAGGTTTTAATATATTAAAGGACAGTGTACTAAAGACAATTAGACAAATGGAACAGTGAGTGACAAAAAAGTTTAAGTTACAGCTCAAAAGTTTTTTCTAATTCTGTGCAATAAATAAAGGTTTTTTCAAAATGACTGAATTTTTAAAAACATTTGTGCAAAAATTAAATGGTGATAATTACTCCATATGGAGCAAAAAAGTGGAACTTTTACTCATTAGGGAAGATTTGTGGGAAGTTGTAGATGAAGAACCACCTACACCTGCAGATCAATCATGGGTAAAAAAGGACAATCGTGCGCGTGCAACTATTGGTTTACTCCTTGAAGATAACCAATTTGTACACATAGAGGATACCACCACAGCAAAAGATGCATGGAATAAACTAAAGCAACACCATTTAAAATCGTCATTATCAAACGTGATTTATCTATATAAAAGAATTTTTAAGCTTCGGTTAGACGAAGGTGGCAATATGGAAGATCACATATCGGAAATGCTGACCCTCACAAACAAATTAATGGCATTGGGCGAAGAATTAAAGGATAAATTAAGGGCCTCATTGTTACTCAGCAGTTTACCGGACTCATATAGTGCATTGATAACAAGTTTAGAAAGCAGATGCGAAACGGACTTCACACTGGATTTCGTCAAAGGAAGACTAATCGACGAGTATAGAAGAAGAAAGGAAAGTAAAGCAGCTACAGACAACAATGAAGAATCTGCACTCAAGACTAACTACAGTAAGGGAAATCAAAGTAAAGGATTGTCATGTTATTTTTGTAAAAAGTCAGGACATCTCAAAAAGGAATGCAACAAATATAAAAAATGGAAGGAAAAACAGAATAAAGAAGATAAAGCAAATATAGCTTCAGAAGATTTTTTTCCAGAAAGTGAGTTTTGTCTTATGGTAAAAAATGTAAATCAAGAAATTACAGAAAAAGCATGTTCAAGTTCAAATGCAGAAAAAATTGACGCAAGCGTTTGGTATGTGGATTCCGGAGCAACGAGTCATATGGTTACTTCAAAGGATATTTTTTATACATTCAATCCGGATGTTAAAGGATTCATACAGCTAGCAGAATCAGGAAAAAGGACGGAAGTGCAAGGAAAGGGCTCAGGAATCATAAAGTGTTTTGTGGACGAGGAATTAAGAAAAATGAAAATTCAAGATGTCCTGTACGTGCCAAATTTAAGTTCTAATCTTCTTTCAGTAAAAAAGCTTACAAAAGATGGGTACAAACTCAATTTCGAAGGTAACAACTGTAAAATAATTAAGGAAGGGAAGGTACAGGCTGTGGCCCATCTGGAAATTGGTGCCAATGGTTTGTACAAAATAAAAACAGATGGAGAGAAAGTTTGGACCGCAATAAACAAGGTAAATGGCAAACATGGAGAGGATTGTCAACATTATTGGCATCGGATTTTTGGTCATAGAGATCTCGGTGCAATAAAGGACTTAACCGATAAACAACTAGCAACTGGAATTACCCTTAAGGACTGCGGGAGGCGGGAGGTTTGTGAATGCTGTGTAAAAGGGAAACTAGCAAGAAAACCTTTTCCAAAAGAGGCACAAGGAAGAACTAAAGAAATTTTTGAACTTTTACACACCGATGTTTGTGGGCCAATGCAAACAATGACGCCAGGAAAGAAAAGGTATTTTATAACCATAATAGACGATTTTTCTAGATACTCGGCAGTTTATTTCATGGAACATAAAAATGAAGCAGGTAACATAATTAAACAATATGTTAAAATGATAAAAACTCAATTTAATAAAACTCCAAAATGTATTAGATCTGATCGAGGTAAAGAATATGTAAATTCAGACTTGCAAAAATTCTTAAAAGACGAGGGAATAAAAATTCAGTACACCGCAGCGTACTCCCCTCAACAAAATGGCGTAGCAGAGAGAAAAAATAGGTCTCTTATAGAGATGGCAAAGTGCATGATATTGGACGCAAATTTAGAGAAGAAGTATTGGGCAGAGTCAGTTAATACAGCAAACTATTTGCAAAATCGTCTGCCAACAAGAGCCTCTGAAAAAACTCCCTATGAAGTGTGGTATTCAGTAAAACCAGATTTAAAGAATTTGCATATATTCGGTTGCGAAGTTTACATGCAAATACCTAAAGAACAACGTCGGAAATTGGATGATAAAGCGGAGAAACTTATTTTCGTTGGATACTCTGAAGAATCCAAAGCCTTTCGACTCATCGACAAGCGTACGGACAAATTGAAAATAAGCCGAGATGTTGTATTCCTGGATAAATATCAACAACCGAAGACTGAGGAACAAGAAGTAATCTTCGCGGAAGATAATCACCAGGAAGAAATAATAGAAATCAACAGTGCAGACTCATCCACGACAAGTGAATCTGAAAATTCAGAAAGTATTGTCGAAGATAATAACAATGGAGAATTAAGGCGATCTCAAAGGACTAATAAAGGAGTTCCACCCGACAGATATATGGCTTCAACAAAGCTAGTTAAAATCAAGAAAGAAGATCCTACATGCATAAAAGAAGCGTTATCAGGAACAGATAACATAGAATGGCAAAAGGCAATGGATGAAGAAATCAATTCTTTACAGAACAACGGAACATGGGAATTAGTACCTACACCGGAAGATACAAATATTGTCAGCAACAAATGGATCTTTAAATCGAAAAAGGATCAACAAGGA